GGAGGCAGCCAGGAAAGTTTACCACACCCAGCAGGGGCTCAAAGATTTTCAAACAAGCACTCCAGGAAACTTAAGTACGTTCTGAAGTTTTTTAAGTTTCCTTAGTGTTTTCAATGCACAACCCCTTAGGCTAACCTCCCCATGTAGTCAGCTAGCTGGAGCCTGTACAAAGAAATTCTGCTTCATACAAAATACACCATGTAGGAAAAAAAAAAAAATCCTAAAGACCTTTCTAGATATTTGGAGGGGAAACATTAAACAGCTCTCACTTACCCTTCAAGTTTTTGTGCATCCTGAAAGTTTTTCTTATGAGATACGCATTGCTAGAAGCCAGTGGCAAAAAGGCTCTGATCTGTGCTGACTTGTGTATCTTGGGATTGATCCTGCAAGGTGCTGAGCACTCTGAACACTTCCAAGCAACTGAACAGACTCCGAGTAAACTACATTAGGACTGTTGAAGGGTTGAAAACTATGCGTGGATTTCCTACATGTTCCTAGACTGGGGCTGACATGCTCCACCCAGGTTGTTTTGGGGTTTCCAGAAAATGGTAAATTGATGAAGCCATTTAACTTGAACTGGAAGTCTGATATGCTTCTTTTCAGTAATAAAATTTCCACTTTTACTCAATACTATTTTATTAATAAAAATTGAATACTGCTTATTAAAAGCTGTTACTCATAAGTATAGTCATCTATCCCAGTATTTATGATTACAGAAAACGGGCAGTAACAGTCTCTAAAGTTATTTCAATCTTTTGCCCTAAATCTTCCTCTTGGCAATAATTAAAACCATGATTAGTTTGGCAGTGGGATTATTTACAGTCATCTGAAAGTATTAAATGACAAGAAGTTGGAAAATATTGCTCAATGAGAGATTTGGAAAGGCTTGCTAATTTAGTTATTGATTCATTCATCATTTTCCTGACCATTTCCTAAGTATGCGTAACCTAGTAAAATAATGGGTTTGCTTATTGTACATTTATCATTAGTGTTAAGATGAGACGCTCACACTGAATCATGAAATCCACTCCCCACAAGCTAAGGGTAGGTGACCTGACTCGTTACACACTTGAGCACACAAACATCTTTACTCACATGAGTAGAATTAATGGAGGCTGGTACTTGAATCAGGGGATCTGATAGAACATCCTTTCAAGTCCCTGAGCAACCTGATAAAACTTTAAAGCTGGCTCTGCTGTTAGCTGGGGACTATGGGGGCAGACTACATGACCTCCAGAGGTTTTTCCCAATCTGATTTTTTTTCTGTTTGATTTACTAGCTTGTGCGGGGAAGTCCCATTTGCCAGTTCTGTAGCAAAGCCAGAAAGCCAGAAAACATCCCTCTGCTTCAGCCACTTCAGTTCACTTCAAAATTAAAACCTTAATAGTGAAAGCGGCTTTGCCAAAAAATGCTGGGCCATAAATTGGAGCACCTATGGTACAGCCAGTTGTCCCAACATACTCTACAGCACAAGAGGCAAAACAACTGGTAGAACAACATCCTACCCTGAAGTGGCTACATTGACCAGAGGATGTCCAAGAGAAGCCACAACCCTCAAGAGTGTGTAGGATCTAGCCAGAAGGGCAATACCTTTTTATTTTAGAATCAGACAAAGCTATTAGCTACAAATGGCTAATAATGCTAATTAAGTTACTAAATCACTCATAAGAAAACTAGGAAAGGAAATTCACAGCAAAAGACCTGAGGAAGAGTCATTTGTGAAGCAATATTAAATTTCAAAATATATGAGTTATTTTTAGTGGGTAAAACCACTAATATTTTGGTATAAGTACCTTTCAGTCCAGTGACCCACTAATAAAAAATTTCTTCCCTCCTCTGCTAGTCACATTTTAAGAAAAATAAATCAGGAGCCCCCCATACTTCAAAGGGAGCATACTTCACTTTTTTTTTTTTTTTTTTTACTCTCTCTCTTCCTATCTCTTAAGCAGCCACACTTCAACTCACATTTATCCTTGACACCTTAATCAGCCAAAGCATTCACTAACTTTTCAGTGCGGAAATGTACTATTGAGCCCAAATAACTATAAAGCAGTTAAACAATGAAGTGTAATAATTTCCTGAATTTCAACTTCACATTTCAGGAAATAAAGCCTGAAGCCAAACTGAAATTACAGTTAACACTCCTAGAAGTGCTGTCATTCCAGCAGTGGGGATTTTTTCAGACAACTGATATTTTAATGGGCCTAAAGGGTAGATAAGAAGGGTTCATGCATGCATAGGATTTTTACACTTAACCACCAGAACTTTTTATTTCTAAAAAAATTTTTTTTTTAAATCAGTGCTGACTGTAATCCATAGCTGCAATACACACTCTCTTGTATGTGAAGAACACGCGGCATTCAGGAGCATACACTGTTTGTCTGAGGCAGTGAAATACTCCCATGTAAAATACAGTGAATTTTTAAATTTAAGTAACTGTTATGCGTAACCTAGATTGTACCTAAATATTACAAGGGCGCTTTAAACTTAAACTAATTTAAATCAACAGTAAATCCACTAACTCATTTTTAAAAAGCCCTAATAGTACTTAAGAACTAATAAAACCCCTACATCTATGATACAGTTAACAAACTCTTTGTTTGATTTGGATCTCACTGTCCCCACTGTCTGCAGCAGAATGAGCTCTTAGATGAACCATGGGTATCAGGAGGAGACTACACAGGGACGGTAGTTTATTCCAATGAATATCTGCTATTTAGTTCATTTTTAACTTCTCTATGTAAGCACATAAAGGAAAAAAGAGAATAATTTCAAAAAAGTCCTCACAGTCATTTCTTTGATGCTTTTATAGCTCTTTCCTGTTCTATTTTTGTCAACATTAGCTAAGAAACATATATAAACACATTTTGTTATTCAGACCACTACTCCTACAGAATTCAACAATATTTTTCACAGAATGAAGTTAGGGGTTTGCAGGATTTGAACTGTGCATTTCAAATGGATTAGTTCCTTTCTTACTCTGCTACTAAGAGAATGTGTATACCAGCAACAGACAGAAAAATAAAAGTCACAGCCTATAAACAGGGGGTTAGATTTTGATATTCCAGCTGCTTTCAATGTTAATTAGCTGGTGCTGTGACAGGTATTTAAAATATCTTATGTTAAGATAAGGAATTATTTTGCAGTTGCCATTATGGTTATGAAGAAAATAACAGTGATGTTCACCAAAGAAAGTCAAATTGAAGAAACAAAAGCTTATGATAAGTATGTAATTCCATTCTCCAAAGAACAAAAAAAACTCCATGAGATTGGCCACAGCAGGCAAGACCAAATGCCTCTTCAGCCCCTTATTGTCTCTCTGACAGAAGCCAACTCCAGATGTTCAGAAGCACAAGGACAGACCATTTCACAGAACCACAGAGTAATCTGGAAGGGATGGGACTTCTAGAGGTCACCCAGTTCAGCCCCCTGCTCAAGCTGGGCTTCCCCTTATGACTCCTGCCAAAGATCTCACCCACTCAAGCAGTTCTTGGTTCAGGAATTTCCCGAGCTAGAAGCAATGCCTTTGCACTTTCTTCATTATCTACTAGCAGATAGTCCAAGAAAATCCTAATTTACTGCCTCTGAAATTCCTTATCTTAATGCTTGGTGATTTATGTGTTCAAAGATCTCAGTTTCAATCACTCCTCACTCCTCCATAGCTCCACTACTGAGACTCCGCACAGCAGAGGGCACACCCCATTACACAGCCCATAAACTCAGTCAGAAGTCCAAAATGGCCAGTTCGACACTCCAAAGAGAATAGAGGGAAATTACACAAGACGGTGTTACTCAGATGTCTGCAGCCTTTGTTATTTCCCTCAAATTCCAGTGTTTATATATTCCAGTAAAGTTTGGGGGGGTTATTAACAAAAATAACAATCCAAACAAATAGAAAACAGTGCATTTGAATGCCTAACGCCCAACACCTATTGTCACAGGCCCCAGGGTGGCAGCATCATCGATGTTTGCAGTCTTATTTTAGCCCCATCCAGGACCTATCAGTATCAAGTCTCATCCTCAGTGGTTTGTGTCAAAGTAAAGTTATTCTTTGTTGTAAAAGAACCCTCACCATCACCTCAGTCCAACTCTGAGCCTAATTCCACAAAAATCTACAGATGTCCTTCCACTGAATTCTGAGGCAGGTGAAATGGTTTCAGGGAGTGCTTCTCACCTACAGCTTTCAAATAGAAATCTGCAAATATTACTGCTTTTCAAGTGGGAAACTGAGGAAAGGGGATTTGCCTGAGATTAGCCAGAAGGTAAGTGAGATACTGCTGTTCCCTGACTCCTGCTGTACCTGCAGGCTCCCACAGCCTTGCTACAACACACCACACCACAGGTGGTCACTCTACAGACTACCACGTGGTCACACGCCAGAGCATGAAGCTTAAAAATCAAACAAGTAAACTTCTACTACCCCCTGTAAAAATCTCTGCGCTGGCTTCTCTCCTTGCTGGACAACTGACAGGGATACAGATTGTAAATGTCCTGGCTCACGTTCCTGGCTCTCCCTCGCTGTTACGCACCAATCCAGCAACACAGAGCAACTACGAAACTCGTTTTGAGCGCCGGTGTACCCTTGGCAAATCTGGACCAGGGTGCGTAGGTGCGTTCCCAGCAGGCACTGGCATTCCCAAGGCCCGTGGAAGGCGGCCTGCGTGGCCGGGCAGGGCAGGGCAGGGCAGGGCGGCCTGCCGAGGTGTGCCAGCCGCGGCTCCCTTCCAGCTGCGCGCAGCGGACTGGCTGCACGGTCCGGCGACGCGCTCAATCTGGCTCTAATTAGCTTCGGCAGGCTGATGTTTGCCATGAGAGCGAGCGCTTTGTTCGGGGCGTGCTGGGGAACCAGAAGGCGGTACGCGCCCTCCCGCCCCGGCCGCTGGCTTTTTGGGGTGCCAGGGAAGGGCCCGAGCGCGGCTGCAGCGGCCGCTTCTCCGCCGGGGCTTGGCAGCGGGTGGCCAAGCGCTTTCCCCCCCGAGGTCGCCTCCTCGGCTACTTACACTGGGGTGGGCTGGCAGGGGAACTGGTTCCAGGCACACTTGTACTGGGCCTGGACGTAGCTCTCCGTCCCGTCCAGCACCGAGCAGCTGACGTTCCTGTTCACTATGTAGGCGCACCAGTTCCTGGGGGAGGGGGGGTAAGACAACGGCCGTCAGGAACGGGCAG